ATGCATGTATTTGTATATAGTTAGATGGGACGTGTTAGATTTAGATAGGATGTGCTCTTGCCCAGGAGTCTTTTTCTTCAATTGACGCTTGGACATCAATAATAAAATTAGAAAAATAAAACATGAGCCAACAGTCGGATTCTAACCCGGGACCTCACGCAAGTGACTTCAATAAGTTGAAGGAGGTATCTACAAGGCATCTATGCTAATATAAGGCTAGATTTTCATATTTATAGTTACATTTTATTCCTAATCCAGCGTTTATTTGCACATTGATTTGTTGATTACAGAATATATGGTACATGTACAGTATGTACTATGCAATCACAATAGAAAAGGATAAGAAATAACAACTTTTGTAAATCTAGGCACTAAACATTGCTGCAACAATTATTAGTGCATGCAAAATTGACAAGTACATGTATATTTGCAGAGATCAATAAAAAATAACTTTTACGGAGTATACACTGACCTAGCTCATCTAACATAGATTTTGCAAGATCCGCTGGGCTCCTTGAGTGTTGATTTATTAGTACTTTACAAAAATTAATCAGATACTGTCTTGAATAAAGAGAATCATCCAAGCCTTCTAAACCTGCCAATTGTCCTTCAATAGCATTCATCAGTTTGCTAGCTTTGGTATACATAGAATCTGCTGCTATATGAATTTCATTTTTGGTTTGTTGTGGTATGAGCTCTTCGGCATATAGTTTATCTGATATTCTTACAGGATCAGCAGACATTGCAGCAGTAAGAGTTGCTGATTTCACTTTCAGTATATCTAAAGAAGTACAAAAAATAATTTGACATTATGTTTAAATTATCATAGGCACATCATATACATTGTACATGTACCTGTAGTCATACGAACTGGTCTCAAATTGAGTTCAATATCTCCTGCAAGAACAAAAAATAATCACATTAGAAATATTCAGGCTTGAAGTTTGAACTACATAGGGAAGTTTAGATACAGAACTAATTCTAAAGGAGTTGATTAATATTAATAACATCTTTAATGAAGTAAAAGAACAGATAAGTTAACTGTCAAATTCCAGGGATTTTGTAAGTAGTAGCACTGTAATGGCAGTTACTTCAGCTGACCATTCAGATTGTGCTACGTAGGCTGTATATAGAGAATATTTTAGCACATTTTAATTCTGTTACTTTCAGAAAAAATGGCTGAGCTTGATGCTGAGACTGTTGAAGTCCATGTTAAAGTAATGCATGACGAAATAGTTTTAGTTTTTACTATAACATGCTAAAAATTAGTTTGGTGGAAGATGTAAAAGGCATAAAATATAGATTCTAAGTTAAATGTGCATGTATTTGTATATATTTAGATAGGACTGAAAGAATGGCAAAGTACATGCAGATAAAGTATTGTATTGATTTGTATAGAAAAAAATTGGATGGAAATTTTACTAAAAATGGTACATAATACATTTAGATGTACATTTACCAATTTTACTCACAAAATGTGTAATAAAGAAAAGGCATAAGCATGAAGCAAGTTACCTGAAGCTTTACACAGTATAGCATGGAAAATTTTAGAGACTGCAGACTCTGAGAAGTACATGTATTTTCAAGAGGCTCAGCCTGTTCCTCAGTCTGTTTGTTGGAAGCATACTGATCCTCCTGAAGAGGAAGTATATGGCCAGGAATAAATTCTGAGGTGGAGACTCTAGTCAAGTTATGTGTGTTAACTAGTCGGTTCGGTCAGGACCTCCAAAAGCACTACTTAATCCATACGTTTGGCTATCCAAACCATGGTCTTGTATCCACTCAGGACCTTATCGTGGTCACACATACTCTGTTGTAGTTGACACCTTCTCTAAATGGGTAAAAGTTATTGACATGCCCAGTATTACTTCAGAATGTACT